CGACCCCAACTCATAGTTAGGTAAATTATATTGCATGCGACCGTGTCCATTTACTTTTTCGTAGTGAATTTGGATGTCATCAAAATTGACGTTGTCGGGGAACAATTTGGCATATTTAGGTTGTTTGAGAAGTAAGCGTAAGTGCTTTGGTCCAAACTTGTGAATATTTGCGTAATTAATTTTTCTTATCTTAGTTTATTTTCTTATTTATTTCTTGTTTATTTTTGTAAATTTGAAAAATGACATCGCGTAATGAAAATTGGTCGGATGGTAGTTGTTCATACATTGTTGACCTTTGTCCTTATTGTGGAGGACCACACTCTTGGCAAAGTTGTTTAAATTCTCCCGGGGGCGAATTGTGGGCACAATCTCAAACTCATGAGTGGAGTACTTGTGATAAGTGTGATCATCAAAATGGTCATTGGGATAATTTTGCTTATTTGTCCTTCCCTTCCCCCATCCCCCGCTATGATGAATCTACTTTTTTTGATGAAAATTATAGGGATATGGAAGTGGAAGAAATCGAGCACGGTCACAATGGAGAGTTCAAGCTCTTGTTAGAGTGCCTACTTGAAGAAGGAAACAAAGAGCAAAATGCCATGGAGGAGCTTTTAAAAAATAGTCTCCAAAATGATTGGGTGCTTGAAAAGCTAAACTTAAAATGGGAGAAATGCTTGAAGCTTTAGAGGTCCAAAAAGCCTCGAAAGTGAATGATAGCCAAGAACCTTCCTTAGATGTTGAAGCCAAAATTCCTTCTTTGGCAGTTGATCAAAATCAAGAAGAACTCTCAAATGCTCAAAATGAGAAAATGATGCTCATGTTGGAGGCCATTCTTGAAAATGAGGAGAAGCACAACTTGGCACTCGAGGATATGAAACAAGTTTTGAATCAAAAAGATGAAAATATCCGCACTTTGGATGATCAAATGAAATAATTTATTGAGGGTCACTATGCCTATCGATTTGAAAGTGTGGAAAACGGTCAAGAAGATTCCAACTTCGAGGAAAAAAGTGAGCTTTATTTTGAGAAATCAAGAATTGAACATCCGCCAAATGACTTCATACTTGTTAGTGATGCCAAGAAAAATATGAAATTAGAATTAATAGGTGTAATTTAAAATATGGTTGAAGTTGACTCTAATTCGGGGAAAAAAGAGGATGTCAAAATTCGGAAAAATTTACAATTTGAAGGCTTGAGGTTGCATTCCAAGCATTTTTCAACTTTGGAATTGCATGATGATATGGGAATTGAGCCGCACGAATCCATATGGAAGTAAAAAGAAGAAAAAAAAAGAGTCATACATTTTGCAATTTTCATATTCAATAAGGCAAAATGACATCCCTCAAAGCCAAGAAATGCAAAATGAAGAGATTAATGTGTGGCTTGATCATCTACTTACTATCCCCCCCTGCTCGTGGTCAGAAGCTTGAGTCCATGTTAGGTACCTAATTCATAACGTCCAAGTAGCAGGAAAATTGGTAAAGTTGATCTGCGTCGTGCCACAATGTTAAATGCGGCGCTTGATGGGAGGCAACCTATCGTTTTTAAATTTTTAGTCGTTTTTGAAATTTTCTTTTTTAGAATAGTTTATTTTATTATTTTTGATCAATCTACCAAGTTTAAGGAAGTTTGGAAGTGTTCGGGACACAAAATAGGGATATTAGGAAGTGAAAAAAATGACGCTCAGGCCTCACAATTGCGAAAAGTGGTTCGCAATTGCGAACTAGAGCCCACAACAAAATCGAAGAAACAATCACAATTGCGAAAATTGCTGACTTTTTATTGTTTGCAATTGCGAATTCTCAGTCGCATTTGCGACCTCTGAGGCACTTAAACTAGGTCTTACTTAACACTTGCCAAAAGTTGCAAGAATCTCAACCAGGCCTTTCATCGAACACATAGTAAGCGCACAAAATCACTCTTATTTTAACAAGGCCATGGGTACTGAGACTTTCCCATTTTTACAGCAAATAAATAAGCTCACACTCTCAACTAACCTCACCCAAAAATTAACATATAATTTGAACATTTTTCAAACAGTTTCTGACAAAAGAAAATAACTCATTTGAAACCTAGCTATTGAGAGATAAAGGAGAGAAGAAGAAAAAGAAAAAGAAGAAGATGATGATGATGCAATAGAACATAAAGAGCCCAAAGATTAAGCCTTCATACCTTGATGCTTGCACCTAGGAGTGAAAATGAGGGAGTTTGATAAGTTGGGAGAGTGAGGAATATTCTTGTCCTCGCCATTTGCGACAAGAATATAATGGCTCAAATTCAATAACAGAATAAAATCGCACGATAGAGAAAGAATGAAGTAAAAATTTTCTAAAGCCCTAGAGCCTCTGGAAGATAAGTACAGATGTCTCCATACCCATCCTCCAAACTCTACTAAGCTTGCTCATGACTCGTGAGACCTACGCAACCTAGCGCTCTGATATCAACTTGTCACGATCCGAAATCCCAACCGTGGGACCATGATAGCGCCTAACATCCACTTGCTAGGAAAGCCAATATTAATACACAACTAATTATTTTAAAACCAATTTGAAAACAATTTAATAAGAAATAAAGCCATAGAAATCCAAAATAAATATAATAACTCAAAACACTGACTAATCTAATCTTGGAATCTTGTGTCACAACTACATGAGCATTCTAACAGTGCTAAAACTAATGTCTAAATGAAAATACAACTGTTTGAAACAAATTAAACAGTAATCTAGATAAGGAAGGGGATTTTAGGGACTACAATTGTCGTGCAGCTTTTCCTCAAGTCTCCGTGAAAAGCTGATCCGAGCGAGTCTCCACTAACCGATGTTGAGACCAATACAAAAATTTGTACAAGAAGTGCAGAAGTGTAACAACCGACCACATGTACTCTATAAGTGTCCAGACTAACCTCGATGAATTAGTGAGAAGGCTAAAACAAGGAACTCACTATAAACCTGAATGAGTATAAAAGAAATAACAACTAATCGAGAAAACAAGTATAACGTGATAACTAGAACCGGAAATATAATACTCTGCCACAAAATAATATTTATGCTCAACTTTTCAATTCAACACGAACACAGAAACAACAATTAAAAGCAATTAAATATGTCTTGTGCGTTACGTCGCACAACCCGATTCATAATTATACATAAGTACCATTGCAGCATGCAACCCAATCCTGCACAGTAATACACAGATCCGTTTTGGTGTGCAATCCGATCTCAAACAATAACAATATAAATCTACAACTACAGCCAACTATGGCGTATCTCAAGTAAAATTCAATACGCGAATTACATGATTAAAGACACAAAGCTGATAATAGTAGCTATCTAATAACACATATGGTCATAAACAAGTAAAGACAATTAATAAATAAAGACACATCCACATGAAATTAATTAGCAATTAATGCATGCAATAGACAAATGCATGAATTTAACAAGTAAGGGCAAGTAACAGTTAGAGCATTTAACAAGTAATAACATGGATTAAATAAAAGAACGGAACAATTGAAAATAATAAATAAATATCTAAATCCGCATGCTTAACCAATGACTATGTATATAAACTCGTCACCTTGCATATATGTCGTTCCCACACATAAATCAAATAGCAATTAAACCAATCAAGTGCTAATTCTCTTAAGTCAAGGTTAACCACGATACTTATATCACTCCGCAACCAAATCGATCAATCAACTACCGCCTTGCCTTTTGAACAATCCTCCATACTAACCGAATCTAGCCAATTATAGATCAAACAATTCAAAATAAGCTTTAGAAACTACGCACGAATGAAAAGGTTCAATTTGATTATTTTTGAAAAAGTCAACAAAAGTCAACACCGGGTTGGCTTAGTCAAAATTCGAGATTCGGACCAAAACCCGATTACCCATTTAACCCCGAGCTCAATTATGTGATTCGTTTCGAAATATTACCTTAATTTGACGTCTAAATATCAATTTTACGAATTCCTAAATTCTACCCAAAACCCCTAATTTCTACCATGGAAATCCTAGATTTGATGTTAAAAACTCATGAAAAGTAATGGGGATAGAAAATAAATTAGAGTTGCTTACAAATGAATTTGGGAAGAAGGGGTTCTTCAAATATTGCCTCTAGAGTGTTTGGGGTTGAGAAATGGTGCAAAATGAGCTAAGTCCCGATTTTCCCCTCTTTTTTACCCAGCTGCAGGTATCGCAAATGTGAAACACTGATCGCAAGTGCAAACAGTACCGCTAGCCTGCTAAAGTCGCAAATGCAAAAAAAAAACGCATTTGATATACACCCCTTTATTGCAAATGTGGTCAAAGGTTCGCAATTGCGAACCTGACTAAGTCCCAGTCGCAAAGGCGATCCAGTGATGTCCACAATTGCGAACAACTTTTCGTAAATGCGAAGACTGCCCTGTCCAGCTCTTTTTTGCAAATGCGAGCTTGACTTCGCAAAAACGGAGTTCGCATTTGCGAACAGGTCCTCGCAAATGCGAGACCTGCACATTAACACCAGAAACTGAAGCACACCAACTATCTCAAATCATCCAAAACTCATCCTATATACACCTGAAACTCGCATGAACCTCTCGGGCTCCAAACCGAGCATACACATAAATGTAGTAATATCATATAAACTTGCTCGTTACCTCAAATCATCAAAATAACATCAAATAACGAGAATCGATCCTCAAAACTCAAGATTTTCAATTTAAAACTCATTTTCACAATTTTTCACATAACGCATCGAAATGCGTCGGGTCACCACGGACCCCAATCAAACGTGCGTATAAGTCCAAAAATATCGTACGAACCTAACGGAATCATCGAAACACCAATCCTAAGTCGTTTACCAAGAATGTTGAACGTGGTCAACTCAAGTTCCATTTTAAACCTAAAATCACTATTTCTTCAAATTTTTTGTACAAAAACTTTTCGGAAAACCAAACGGACCATGCACGCAAATAAAGAAACATCAAATTGATCTAATAGTCTCGAGACACGAAAATAAAGTCGTCACACAAACAATATCTTATTTATAACCTCCATAGTACATCAATCAAATCTGCAAACTCAAATTTGGCCTCATGTTCATGGTTGAGTACCTGCTCTATTCCTATATAACAGAGCCAGAGACTTTACGACAGTGATTAAATCCAAACCACACACCATTAGGTAGAAACTTATTATAGTTAAACGTAATAACAGGACGATTTGGACCATACACCTTCACGCTCTCTGGTTTCCAGCCATCCGATCCAACCCTCAACAAGTTAAGGTAGCAGATCTCATAAGTACATGGGCCGCGTATCTGGAATGTATCCGTCGAGCACCTCTCGAAAATCCTTGACGATGGGTTATCTAGTCTTGGTGCATAGACCTGTAGAGAACATTCACATACAATTTTCAGAAATCTCATTTGGGCAAATTAAGGTCTCTAAGAAAGAAAGTTAATATTACGAGTGTTCAACGTATTCTCTTTAAAAAAAATTGGAGTTAATTTTCAAATGGTCATCCAATTTCAATTGAAGATGCAGTATTCTACAGCAAGATTAAAAAAAAAAAAACAAAGAAGAATGGAAGTGGTACTTGATTATTTTCATTCAATTTTCTGAAAAGGGTGGATCTTAAATTTAATCTATATTGTCTGTAAGGTTATTCTGGGTAACTTACTTTACTGCCTCTTAAGGGGAGAATTGCAGTGATCAAGATTTAAGAAAATGAAGGCTGCATATTGCCATTCCCTCAATTGGATTTAACTAAGAGTTTGACCCATCAAGAAGAAGAAGAAGACCCATTACTTTGAGTATAGATTTGGAATTACAAGGCGTTTACCTCAAAGCCATAAGCATCTCCAAAAGCAATACTGACTTTGTCTCTGGTGTATTTAGGTGAAGAACAGCTTGTTTTGATGGTCAATGTGTATGAGCAGCTCCTTGCAGTAGCTGCGCTCTGATTTCTCAAACAAAGACATAGTATTATTAACACGAGATCTTGATGAATTCAATATGAAATCTTGCTTTCTGTAATTGGATGTAAGCTTTAATTAGTTACCTGATTGGTGTTGATGGAGAAGGATCTGAAAACATGGGGTTTTGTTGGAGTTGAAGTAATTGATCTTGCTTGCGAGGAAGTGAAGAAAGAAGCTGCGATGAGGATCAGGAGCAGCAGCAGGACCGCAGAGTTTCTTCCACCCATTTTTTGATCATTGATTCATTACTATGTTGACTTTTAATAACCTCAACAACGCCTTTTTTTTTTTTCATTTTTTAATATGGTTATAATATTTTCATGTCTTTTAAATATTTTGAATTACCCATTATTATTGTGATTTATAATAATTTTTATGTAATTTTGAAACATATAAATTTTATCAGAAAAATTTAAATATTCTATGTCTAAATTCACGATCAAAATTAAATGTATGTCTTGAAATCCAAATATAGTGTTATACTAATTTGTTTGGTTTTTAACTCTCTAACCAGTAATGATTTGTAAACAGCCACGTCCTCTGATTATTACTTAGTCATTTGTGATTATGGTCCGATGATGCGACAGACGATGTTGATGAGAAGTTTCTCTTGCCTCGCTGTTTGAACAATAGTTGTGTATACGGTAGAAATTAGGCTATCCGATTTCGTCCCTCGATGGAAAAAGTAATATCACGTCGAAAGAGCAGGACGTCGAGCTCGGGGTCGAAGTACCTTTCCAAGGTCGAGGTCGATCACACGTACCAAAATTAGAAGAAGGCGTGCTTCGAGATGATGCCGGTATGATTCAGTAACAGAAAGAGCGAGATACATGTAATGGGCCGGAGATCACGGCGTGAATTTCGGAATGAATTGGTCTTCGGCGGTTAAACCGTTGTCAAGTATGATTTCCTACTATAATTAGAAGTGTATCTTATTTAGGACTCTCCTATTATGTAAAGGGGAATCTCATTCATTTGTAAGGGCCATTTGTTCACTGATAAGAAAATATACGCACATTATTCTCTTGTTATTTCACTTACTATTCATCAGAGTTGCTTTATTGTTTGTTATTCCCGTTATCATACCTCGAGATTATCACAGATCGAGGTCAATATTTATCTTACACACTGGTTTGATCTATTTTATTCTTTAATTTATCTATTTAATATCTTGTTTATCAATTAGTATTGGATTGAATCACATATCCTTAAAACCACAATATAAGTTTAATTGTTACTCGAATTTTAAGGTAAACAGTTTGGCGCCCACTGTAGGGCTAAGGATAATAGTGATTGTTCCAGTGCTGATTCTGATAACACGCGTTATTTTCACACTTGTTCTTGTCAAGTATTTTTGCTCTTAGATTAAAGCATGTTAAACTCACAAAACGCACCCGTACATGGTGACGATGGTCTCGGATTTCACGGAGAAAACGATAATGTTATTGCTCTAGGAGTCGGGGTGCCACCAGCTAATCTCGGGGGAGCAGCGGTCGCCGATCCCGTCGATATCAGTTCGCACGTTGCGCTAAATGCAGACCTAGGCGCGGACCCCGAAGGGAGTGTACGTAAGGAAGGCCGATCTATTGGCCAAGTTACATAGAGCAAAGAAGACGGGGGAGTTAGCCTCTAGATAATATTCGAGATGCTACAAGCTCAGTAAGCCGCTATTTCTCAATTGCAAAATCAATATAGGACTCCAAGTGTGGTCGAGCTAGAAATCACTCGTCGTACCGAGCCAGTTCCAGAAAGGTCGAATAGTAGCGAATCAATGACTGATCCTGCAATAATGAAAATGCTCTAGGAGCTCACCAAAAGAATTGAGTCCGGAGAGAAGAAAATAGAAGATAATGATAAAAAAAGTGGAAACATACAACTCTTGAGTTGATCAGATACCGGGGGGCACCCCCGATCCTAAAGGATTTGAATTCGAAAAAGTTCGTGCAGAAGCCTTTTCGTCAGAGTGCGGCTCTGAAGCCCATTCCTAAAAAATTCTGTATGCCGGATATACCTAAATGCAGCGGGACCACCGATCCTAATGAACACATCACTTAATACACGTGCGGAATAAAGGGAAATGACTTAGAAGATGATGAGATCAAGTCCATTTTGTTGAAACATTTTGGGGAAACTTTGTGAAAGGGAGCAATGATTTGGTATCACAACCTGCCACCAAATTCCATTGACTCATTTGCCATATTAGCAGATTCTTTCATGAAGGCACGCGCCGTGGCCATAAAAGCCGCAACAAGAAAATCGGACGTTTTCAAGATAAGACAAAGGGATAACGAAATGCTGAGGGAGTTCATATCCCGATTTCAAATGGAACGCATGGAGTTGCCATCGGTCACAGATGATTGGGCTGTTCAAGCTTTCACCCAAGGGTTGAATGAGCGAAGTTCGATAGCATCACGACAGTTGAAACAAAATTTGATCGATTATCCAGTTGTAACTTGGGCAGATGTGCACAATCGATACCAATCAAAGATCAGGGTCGAGGACGACAAATTAGGAGCCCCTTCCGGTTCAGTAAATCCAAACAGGTTGGCACTTAAAACCCCGAGAGACGTCGACAAGGAGCCAGGGTCCAGAGAACGATATCAACCATATACCGTGGATCGAATGAACAATGGTTCAGGAGGCAATCCCTCCCGGAATGATCGAAGAAGCGATCGAGGGAAAAATCTCGGGGACTTATGAGCAAAAGTGGCTTTGATAAGCACGCCGATCATGTGGAGGCACCTCGGTTATCGAAGTATAACTTTAGCATCGACGCATCGGGCATTGTATGGGCAATCAGAAGGATCAAAGATACTAGGTGGCGTAGACCCATACAGACCGATCCTTCCTAAAGAAACCCAAATTTGGTGTGCAAGTATCATGGCACGCATGGTCACAAAACCGAGGATTGCAGGAAATTGAGGAAAAAGGTAGCCCATCTATTCAATAAGGGTCACCTTCGAGAGTTCCTCATCGATCGGGCTAAGAATCATTTCAGAGAAAGGGACACCAACAGGAAAATTGAACAGGAGGAACCCCAGCATGTTATTCATATGATCGTCGGTGGGGTTGATATTCCACAGGGACCCATATTCAAACGCACTAAGGTGTCAATCACTAGGGAATAACAAACCCGAAATTATGTGCCCGGAGGCTCCTTATCATTCAATGACGAAGAAGCATAAGGCATTTCTTAGCCACAGAACAACGTTCTGGTAATTTCTATCTTATTAAATAAAGTTCAAGTTAAGCATGTTTTAGTGGATCCAGGTAGCTTAGAGAATATCATCCAATCGAGAGTCGTGGAGCAACTCGGCCTACAAGATCAAATCGTGCCCGCAACTCGGGTCTTAAACGGCTTCAACATGGCTAGTAAAATAACTAAAGGGGAGATTATTTTACCCGTGAACATGGCTGGAACCATTCAAGATACAAAATTCCACGTGATCGAGGGAGACATGAGGTATAATGCCCTACTCGGAAGGCCTTGGATCCACAACATCAAGGAAGTCCCCTCAACTCTCCACCAAATGAAGAAATTTCCAATGACGAATGGTGTAAAAATAGTATACAGGGAGCAGCATGCCGCAAATGAAATACTTGCGGGCGATGAGGTAACGCCGATATCAGCATTATCAACTTCGTAAAGGTCGAGCATCAAAGGTAAACAAGAAGCCAAATAGAAATCACAGCCACTAGCCTCGACCGAATCGGGAAAGTAGGAGACAGAAGAAGAAGAAGAGGATTTTCTGACCCCTCGAACCTTATTGTTTCCAAAACTCAGACAACACCAAATCAATGGTCGAAAAGCTGGAACAGGTTATACCAATCGAGTACCTACCCGAGTGAAAGGTATACTTGGGAACGAGGTTAACCCCCGAACTCAGGAAAAAGCTGACTCAATTTCTTATTGATAACAATGATTGTTTTGCTTGGTCCCATTTAGACATGATAGGGATCCCACCTGAGATAACAATGCATCTGCTAAGCCTTGACTCTAGGTTCAAACCAGTGAAACAAAAGAGAAGGCCCCAGTCCAAGGTAAAGCACGCATTCATAAAGGACGAGGTAACTAAACTTCTCAAAATAGGGTCCATTCGGGAGGTAAAATATCCCTAATGGCTAGCCAATGTAGTCGTAGTCCCTATAAAAGGGAACAAACTTAGAATGTGTGTAGACTATAAGGATTTAAACAAGGCATGGCCCCAAGATTCTTTTCCACTGCCAAACATCGATCGCATGATCAATGCCACGACTGGCCACTAGATCCTTACCTTTCTCGATGCCTATTCCGGGTATAACCAAATTCAAATGAACTGGAAGACCAGGAAAAGACTTCATTTCAAGTATGGAACACATTGCTATAACATAATGCCCTTCAGGCTAAAAATGCTCGAACTACTTACCAACGCCTAGTAAATAAGATGTTCGAAGAAAAAATAGGTAGGTCAATAGAAGTTTATATTGATGACATGCTAGTTAAGTCCCTGCGCGCAGATGACAATTTGGATCATTTGTAGGAAACATTCGCGATTTTGAGGAAATATAACATGAAGGTCAACCCCGAGAAATGTGCTTTCGGGGTCAGTTCGGGGAAATTCGTAGGCTTTATGGTATCGAACCGGGGGAACGAGATCAAGCCCGATAAAATCAAGTCCATTGAAGACATCACCGTCGTGGATAGTGTCAAGGCCGTAGAGGCTAACTGGACGGATATCTGCTCTAGGCTGATTCATCTCGAGGTCATCGGATTTCTCTTTGCTTCAAAAGAAAAACGATTTCACCTGGACCCCAGAGTACCAATAAGCATTAGGGGAATTAAAGCGATGCCTATCGAGCCCACCACTGCTTTACACTTCAACGGCAGATGAGAAACTCTCCTTGTACTTAGCAGTACCGAAAATCGCGGTAAGTGATGTCCTAGTTCAGGAAGAGCAAGGTACGGAATTTCCCATTTATTATGTAAGTCGACCCTTAGGAGAAACAGGAACTAGGTATCCACACTTAGAGAAATTATTACTTGCACTGCTAAGCACTTCTAGAAAGTTAAAACCATACTTTTAATGTCACCCCATATGCGTATTAACCACTTACCCACTTCGTAATATTTTACACAAGCCTGAACTATCGAGCCGATTGGCCAAATGGGCCGTTGAACTCAGTGGGTACGATATCGAGTATAAACCTTAAAAGGCCACCAAGTCCCAAATTTTGGTGGACTTCGTGGCCGATTTCACGCCAACCCTTATACCCGAAGTTGAAAAATAACTTTTT